CCGCTACCTTATACTAGCATACTTGTAGAAGGATTAGATCAGTATTGCTGTTTTATAAACCGCTACCTTATACTAGCATTTGCTGTTTTATAAACCGCTAGCTTATACTAGCATACTTGTAGAAGGATTAGATCAGTATTGCTGTTTTATAAACCGCTACCTTGTACTAGCATACTTGTAGAAGGATTAGATCAGTATTGCTGTTTTATATACTGCTACCTCATACTAGTATACCTGAAGAAGGATTAGATCAGTATTGCTGTTTTATAAACTGATACCATTCATTAGTATACTTGTAGAAAAATTAGATCTAGACATTCACTTACCAGAATACCGTGGAGGTGGCTGTGGTTTACTTTGTACCGGTACGTTCGTTTGAGGTGTTTCGAATCGTTCGATTCTACTATACTGTGGTAACAAACTTTACAGACCACTTGCCCGATAATGTTGCATTGAAACATCACATACGATGCTTCATTCTCCTGTACTTTATTTAATAAAGTCGACACATAAGAACAATCTCTCTTAAGTACAACTCTTATGACGGCCTTCAGCTTCTCACCACAGAGCGACAATTACAAGTGTGTGTTCCAAAGTGGAGATATTGTTTAGCTTATCGCCTGCTCTTGTATCGCAATCGGATGTCCTTGCGCACGCCCATAGGCCCTTCTCCTATCAGAACTATACCCATAGGCCCTTCTCCTATCAGAACCACACCCATAGGCCCTTCTCCTATCAGTACTATACCCATAGACTCTTTTCCTATCAGAACTATACCCATAGGCTCCTCTCCTATCAGAACTATACCCATAGGCCCTTCTCCTATCAGAACTATACCCATAGGCTCTTCTCCTATCAGAACTATACCCATAGGCTCCTCTCCTATCAGAACTATACCCATAGGCCCTTCTCCTATCAGAACTATACCCATAGGCTCTTCTCCTATCAGAACTATACCCACAGACTCTTCTCCTATCAGAGCTAGAAGTGTGTGTGGTCTACTACACAATGTTATCGAGATCTCGTACCAACATTCATTACTTAGGACTCTCTCATGCTCGATATGATTGTGGCTTATTATTGTCTCTATAGCTTTGTCGAGCATAACCAGTGTGTGCACGCTCGAGTTCTGCGGCAGACATAACGCGTTCGTGGACTGTTTCTGAAGTATCGGCGAACGTAGTAGCTATAAGTACGCATGTGGTTACAACGTATTGCAGTGACACTCGAACCAACAAGACGCAAAGAGTGCGCCGAATTTGGACAGACGTGCGCAGGTAACTACCTGACTGGCACATACACACATGATTCGGACTATCTTGGATCGCTCGCTACTCGCTACGTTAATATATGCATAGTATTGGCATTAGAAACCCTAAAAAAATTAAAGGAATGTAGCCTAATTTGTACATCTTTTGTGGGGAAGTCTATCTTTTTTGTATTGAACGTACGAGTATCCTGATATTACATAATGAATCCGCCGTCTTACTTGATATACTAAATTTGGTTGCGTTTGCGCGGGCAGACCCAAAGTGCCAGTGATATCCTACGGAACTCGATCAACAATGCACAACGAACACTGCATCACAGCAAAGTAGGCAAGGTATGTGCACCACAAACACTGCGAATGTTTGGTATTCTAACTGTCTTAACTATGCTGAAGGTGTGTATTGTTTATTTCAAGTATTTTGACTATGCTGAAGGTATGTATTGTTTATTTTAACTATTTCACTATGTGGAAGATATACATTGTTCATTTTAACTATTTCACTATGTGGAAGATACACATTGTTTATTTTAACTATTGTAACTGTGCTGAAGGCATATTTATAACTTCTACCGACTGTGCGAATTCACTTTGTGCACAAGATAGTGGTGTAGATCAGTGCGTGTTAGTATTGTGTGTATAACAAAGTGCCCCCGCCTATGAGAGTCCGCTGTAAAATTGGCACATCCCGAGGAATTGTTATCATAGCACGAGAATATGTATTCTGACTTCATTTTACTTACAAGTCATGGAGTCCTTTGTTTTAAAGTCATGGAGTCCTTTGTTTTAAAGTCATGGAGTCCGTATGTTAGCACTTCTCATAGGCTCTCACCAGCAGCTTGCGGAAAGGTGTTATAGCTGCGCACGTGCACATCGTATTCTCACCATATAAGGTGCTGATTTGCACGATACCACAAAATGCGCACACGCAGCTCAATCTACGCAAAGGTTTGTATATATATATATATATATGTATGTATGTTTATATATATATATATATATATATGTGTGTGTGTGTGTGTGTGTGTGTGTCTGTA